ATGCTAGGCTAGCGTGTGCACCTCAGAACACTAAATTTGTTAAATGAACATCCTCAGTTTTGCTCAAATATTCATCAATTCTAAATAAACAGCAATCTGAAATATCCTTTTTATCATTTTGGCTGTGAAACTCAATTTAAAGAAACTCCATTTAGCGATTATATTTTAAATTAACAAAAAGGAAAAATGACCTTTTCTATTTTTTACCTCAACATTTTCTTTAAATAACTAATTTTGAATAGACACTATTTCAGCCCGAGTCCTAGTTCATCCATAGGCCCACAAATTCAATTCACAGGTTTTTCAGCTTAAAAGATACTTATGCCAAGGACTTGAGGCACAACATGGGTTCCAGCACTTAATCTCATCTGGGTTTACATCATTTTCCTGCCAGTTTCCTCAGCAGGATCAGCTCCCGAGTTCTCAAGGTCCCTGCCAAGTCCTGAAGTCACTAGGCGGGAAAGCAGGCGTGCAGGCCTTCCTGTCAGCGGCCGTGCCCACAGTCGGCCTGAGCCACCAACTGCGTGCTCTCAACTTGTCCTTCTAACCTCTGTTGAACCTATCCTAGTTCTTTCCTCACAGGTTTGGTTAAATTAGAGAAGCCAAACAGGCAAAGATTGGCAGCAAATTATCAACCAGAAACTCTCACTCAGCTCAACTTTTCCTGAGGGAAATATAAAACAAAACAAAAAACAGGACGTGGAGCGTGGGGAAACCAGAAACCCTTTCATCGCTAGAGCGGGGAGCCAGACCTCACTTCATTGAGGCTTCGTCCAGCCTCCCGGGAACACCGAGGGCGCGCCCGCGCGCAGGTTCGCCTGAGGTGAACCCGGCCATTCCAAACGCCCCAGGCACTGACGCAACCGCGCGGAGGCCGCCGGGAAATACGGGGATAAGGAGCCGGGCCAGAGAGGGGCGGGCCCAGAGAGGACTGGGCCTTGGAGTGCAGGCGCTAGGGGGCGGGCCCAGGAATGGGCGGGGCCTGCTGCAGCCGGAGCCAGAGGACGACCGGAGTGCGGACCAGAGGGGGCGGGGCCAGGGGGCGGGGTCGTCCGGGTCCCTAGTGGCCATATTGAGCCCCAGCACTTTCCCTCAGGGTTCGTTTCATCTGCACCGCTTCCTCGGCTGCAGGTAAGACTAGATCGCGGCAAAAAGCCTGGACGTCCTTGGCTCGCCCGAGCCCGGGGCTGCGACGGCGGCGCCTGCTGGAAGCAGAAGCCGAGGCCTGCAGCCCCGAGGTGCGCCGACACTACGTGGGGACGTCGGCCCCGGCCTTGACCTGGGGGCACGCACTTCTCTCTCTAATCCCATTTGCTGCGCCGATTTCCCCCAGCTGGCCTGTAACCCCGGGGCCGCGGGCATGCTGACGCGTTCTCATGCCCGCTACTTGGCATACTCCTTTCCGGCTCCTCCGGCACCTGGGCATGCGGTGGACGTGGGCCCACTCGGTGGCGCGCACTGGCCCGCGAAGCATTGGTTGGCACCACTGGTTGGCCGGGCGCGCGGGGCCGGATCCCACGCGGGTGTTTGGCTTTCATCCCCGGGCGGGATCACGGGGTGCAGACAGGAAGCCCACGCTCTTGAAAGCTCGGGGGTGCCAAGTGTCGTTAGAGTTGGTGTGGGCTGGCTTGTGTTTCCTATGGGGGTTCTTGTGGAAATGGCGCTCCTAGTTGCAGGAAAAAATAACAGCTAACTTTTGTGCACTACGTGAATGAACTTTCATTCTTGGAGCAGCACTGTAAATTGATACTATTATATGCTCATCTTGCAGGTTGGGAAATGAAGCTTTGGGTTAAACAGCTTGCCTAAACTCATGGGATTGTAAGGGGTAAAAACAGGATTTGAACCTGGAGCGTTTAGCTGGAGAACCTGTCCGACATCGTTTTAGTGTGGCAGGAGGCCAAGCCACTCAAGAGAAACCTTCCAGTCCATCCAAGAATTACAGAGTTGGATCTGACAAGATTAGACGAGACCTATCATATACTGTGGGGCCAGAGAGACAGATGTTAGAGGCAGGGGAAAGCATTTGCAGAGATGACCGCGGAGGGATGAGGACTTGGTTTAAGGCGCAAGCCCTGCCTTTCAGGAAGGAAATGACACAGTTATTGCCAATTGCAATGGTATCAAACATCAAGCAGATTATATAACTGACTACTCTGTCTTCAATTTCCATGGCTTACAGGTTCTTAAACTATTGGTCTGATTAGCCAAGTCCAATTAGCCATCTGAACCTCCAGCAGTCAGGGTGTGGCCACAGTTATTATTTGCTGATTAATTTTGGCTTGCCAATCCTATTTCTTAAAATGACTAACAGTATACTTACCACTGCTGAAACAGGTAATTATAAAAGGCTAAGACGGTTTTATGTGATTTTTTTTTTCAATCACAGTTGAAATGGAAATGAATAATAGTTCCATGTAGGCTAAGTTGCGATACAGAACCGCTTCAAAACTGGTGGGAGGAATTGCTATAGAACCCCCTAAATTCTCTTGTCCAATGTGCAGAAATCCAGTCGCTGATTTCTCGGGTAGAGGAAGAAAGGGAATGTTTGTTGTAGCCTGCGGAGCAAGAAGTCATGTGGCCATGCCTCCACTTCCTGGCTCCAGGAGCAATTTTGGGGAAAGCATCGTACAGGTTCAAGTTGGGTGCCCAAGTTCCTAGTTGGTCTGCTGTACATGTGACCCTCCTTCAGTTGATCAGTAATACCTGGTCCTTCAGGGAATTTTGATGATGACACGGTGGGCCCCTGTCTTCTGGGGGCTGCATGCGGGGTGGTCAGTTTTGCTGCAGGCCTGGATTTCAACCCTTAAGACAAGACGGGACATCAAGAAGTTGTCTGTTGGAGAAAAAAAGGAACCCCTGCATCTAGTGACTAGACCCTGGCAGATGCCCCTGTGTCTCTCTGCCAGTTCAGTGAGATCATTGTAGGAGTGGTTGATTTGCAATGGGCAAGCACACCAAGTGAATGGAGGCAGGCTGAGGAGACCTTGGGAGATGAAGGTGGCATGGGGGCTGGCCTCTGCATTCAGAGCCCTAAAGATGGGCTCTTCTCAGGTACTCTTAGTGGGCTAGGGTCCTGTGCATTCATGCAGAAGTGATTATAGTGAGACATACCACTGCAAAGCAGGTATCTGCTTTAATTTAACTTATACCTAATCCGGATGATGGCACTGGGAATTCAAAAAAAGGTTCACTTTGGGAGTCTTCAAATGTAGGTGAAGCAAGATGAGCATGGCCCTGGGAAGTAAATGGAATATAAAAATGCTTGGTTTTAGATTTATTAGATGTTGCTAGCTAGTAATGTACCCTGGCAGAAAGCTCCAGCAAGAAGGTCCATTTCTGGTACTAACACTTGAAGGACATGCAGAGTTAAAGTTTTTCATCCAGAAAATGTAGTTGAAATATACGAGCTAGGCGGTGGAGGGGAGAAAGGGAAGCATGTGAGAGAAGACAAGCAGAGGATAGAAGGACAAAGAGAAGGAGGGAAGAGTTTCACGGAGGAAGGTTTGAGCAGAGAGGCCGTGGTCAGCAGAGTCACTTGTAGCAGTGCCATCCATTGGTTTGGGGGAGCCTGTCTAGGTTGTTAACTGCCAGTGGAGTGGGACACGCTGAAATTGCAGACATGGGTCAAAAGCCAAGGCATCTGAGAAAATACAAACAAGTAAAACAGAGGTATGCAGTGAACTTGAGACACAAGAAAAAATTGGGTAAAAACTGGAATAACTCAGATATCCCAAGGTCAGTGACATTTCACTTCTGTAATTAAAAAGAACAGATTTGACAATTTGGCCTTTTAGGAACAGCTGCTTTGTAAACAAATGCAACTTTTTTTTTTCTTTTAACTGATTGACTTTACCAGTTCTTACCATTGACATGTGTCTTTCTTTTCCAAATAAAGTTAATGTTTACTAACTTTGTGGAAAAATTATGTAATTCCTATGGCATTGCAAAATTCTTTGGTTTTGGGCCTTTGTGGGGAGATTGTCTTGTTTCTTGCTATCTACCCAGCTCTTGTCACCCAATGCTCCTACATAATGTTGGAAAGGAGGTTCACTGGTGAGCCCTTAGTAGAACCTTCCCTTTGTGGTCAGCTTGGCCTCCTCGCCAGAGCCAGCGGCAGCCCCCAGCCTTCCTGAGCCTCCACTCCTGTTTTCTTTGCTCTCAGCTGTTGACTACATGTCCTACTTCTAATTAACAGCCCAAGACTATTTTTAATATATTTACAAGTTACAATGTAATTTCTTCATAGCCCAGCAAAAGATTTCAACTCAGTACCAGGCCTTGTGGTCACATAAGTCTTAAGGTGGCTAGATGAAAGCCTAGATGAAAGTGGTGGTACTGCAGGATCCAGGGTTGAAAGAAGACGACGTCTCAGCTCATAATGGGTTGTGTGTAGAAGTTCTGTCTGATAGCTTCTGCGTAGAGCTTTCCATTTGTAAATGCTTTAATTTTTCTTTTTTCCAGGATCATCAGCTTGTGGTGCAGACAAAAAAAAATCAAAAAATCATTGACAGGTATATTTAAGTTTTACTGTTTATGGGTTACTCTGACAGTTGAATGAAAAACAGTCTAATAATTTCATTTGGGAAGCTACTATTTTTCACACAAAGAACTTACTGAAAAATATAATAACCTAGTATATCATCATATATGTATTAAAACACATATTTAGTTCTTACCTTTGTCATATTTTTTGTTATACTTAACATTTTTATTTTATTTGTAATTGAAGGTAGTTTGTAAAATGGTTAGAAGAAAAAAGAAGTTCCAAAAAATTTTTATGGCATTCTACAATTTGAGAAAAGTATTATCCCTTTGCTTTTTCTAGACAAATGAAAGAATACTACATTTTGGATTTTAATTAAGGAACATTCAAAGAGCAGAATAAATAGACTACTGTGGTTTACTAATAGTATAGAGTGTTAGAAATAAAAGGACAAGCTAATTTTTAAACTTATATAATTAGAAATTTTTTAAATACTATTCATTAATTCAACAGATAATTATTAGGAACCTCCTGTGTGCCAGACACATGCTCAATATACCACGTTTTGGGTAAGCAGACATAGTTCCTAATAGGGTTCAGAAAATGGGATTTCCTTTTAAAATAACTTGGCCAGTTTTACTCTTTGGACTCATGTATAGCTATTAAAATTGCATTCATTATTTAAGATAATTAATCAACAAAATAGCTGAAATGTATATATGATAATTAATAACATGTATGGGGCACTTTGTTGCTTACTGAGCTCCTGGCTTTGGCTTGACCCAGTCCCCTGCATTGTGCTCAGTATCTGGGGAGTCTGCCTTTCAAATAAATACATTTTTAAAAAGATTTTTTTCTTTTTATTGGAAAGTCAGATTTACAGAGAGAATGTGAGACAGAAGGAAAAGAAATATCTCCTGTCCATTGGTTCATCCCCACCCCCCAAGTACCCACAACAGCCAGAACTTAGCTGATCTGAAACCAGGAACCTGGAATTTCTTTTGGGTCTCCCATAATGGGTGCAGGGTCCTAAGGCTTTGGGCCGTCCTCTGCTGCTTTCCTAGGCCACAAGCAGGGAGCTGGATGGGAAGTGGGGCCCTCTGGGGCACCAACTGGTGTCTATATGGGATCCCTTTGCATGCAACGTGAGGACTGTAGCCACTAGATTACCATGTTGGGCCTATCAAATAAGTACATTTTTAAAAAGAAATGAAAACATAAATCACCCATAAACAGAATAATTTCCCTGTGATAAATGGTCCTGTAGGATTAGTCAGTCTTGGAATGTCTGTGTTTCTTTAAGCCTAGAGAGAGAGGGCGGCACAGCAGCCAAGGCAATAGGCTGTGGTGTCAGGCTGCTTGAGTTAAATTCAAGCTTCCAATGCAAAACTATTTGGATTTATTAAAGAGATTAAAAATAAGATTGAAGCTGTTCTGGTGAAGAATTTTACAAAGATGTATCCCAAATTATTTTTGAAAAATTATTATTGTATGTCTTTGTAAGAATCCTCAAGCTGCAACTGTACATTTCCTGAGAGCAGCAGTGCCGAAGCAGCAGTGCCTGTTCCTGGCATGTAGCGCTGCTGACTTAGCGTGCAGGATTTACTGCTTTGCGTTTAAGTGCAGTGGTTGGAGGGATGGGAAAGGAAAGCTTCCTTCGGAGGCTTGCATCTGAGTCGGTCTGCTTCCCTTTAGTCCCTGGGCATTTATTGGAAAAGGGAGTTTTCCTGAGTTTTTTCTCTATTGAAAACTAATGTGGGGTATTTATGTAAGTTTAAGATAACTTTTATATACAAATTTAAAAGGTTTGTTGGTGAGAAGTTAGTCATCAAATTTTGGAACTTCCTAATGACTTTTAATTTGTAGGCTTACATTTTTGTCAGTTGGTTTGATTTAAAAGGAGATATAAAATGTTGTTAACACTATTCCCTTGAATCTTCTGAGACTGAATTTGGTTTACTATATAAAAAATAGATATCATTGAAAGTGTTTCCTGTTATCAAAATCAACAGTATCACAGCATCTGTCTTCCTCTCATTTTAAATCAACCATGATTATGCGGCTGGCATTATGGTCTAGGGGATAAGGCTGCTGCCCCCTGAGATACCAGTGTCCCATTTGGGTGCTGGTATGTTCTGGCTACTTGGCTTCCATCCAGCTCTTTCTGGTGGCTGAGAAAAAGCAGCGGAAAAAGCAGGGAGACCTGGATGGAATGCCTGGCTTCTGCCTGGACCAGTGCTGGCCTTTGCCACCATCTGAGATGTGAACCAGCAGGTGGAAGATCTCCCCTCTCTCTCTTCTCCCCGCCTCACTTTTCCTCACTATGACTTTCAAAATAAATAATTAAATCATTGAAAAATGAACTATGATCAGCCCAATTCCTTGACTTCCTTGCTGCAAGTTGGCAGGCTATTAATATGTTTTAATTTTAAAATAATTGGTATCTTGAAATCTTTTACAAAGCATTTTGGGCAGTCCACAAAAACAAACTTATTAAGCAGTAATGGTATACTGCAGTGCTGTGGAAACCCAACCTGTGTTCTGGTAATTTAACTGAAAGCGATCAGTTTTGTTTCAAATCTTTCAGGAACTGATTCTCTATAAATTAATGAGATTCATGTTTATCACTAGGAGGATGGCGTTGAAACAGGTTTCCAGCAGCAAGAGCTTTGGGGGATTCCAGAAAGTTTTTGAACATGACAGGTAACTGCTAAGATCAAATCTTAGATCTCTTTCTTTTTTTTTATGTTCATTTGCTGTTTTGATTTTAAACAAGTCATTATCTCTAGGTTACCCCATGCCATTTTCAAACCTGTGTGCTTTATCATCTGTTTAACAAGTTAGCTTACTGAGTGACTGATTTGACTGTGTGAGGTAAAGGGGAGCCTGAATAAAGACCATGTTCAGACTTGATAATCTGCATTTCTGTGAGAATGCCTGTGTTATGTTAGGAATTCTTGAGAACCTGTTCTGTGGGTATCTTTTCTACATGAACTTCTTGATAAAATGTGGCTGGTTAAACACTGGCATTTGCCTCTGTTGTCACTTTCCAAAGTCTGACTAACATGTAATTAAGTAAAATGACTAAATACAAACACATTTGTGTAATAGAGAAACGGAAACAGAGACAGAAACGGTATTTTGGAGCCAAGCATAGAGATGAGCAAATAATCCCTGGCTTAGTAAAACCTAGAAAGCTGAATTTTAAACACCAGCAAAAAAAGAGCCTGGGAATGACAGTTTATACCAAAGTCTTGGGAATTGGAGGCATAAGGTACACCTGGATATAAGCGTGAAACTGGATCTCAGAGAAAGGAAGATCAGAGGAAGGGTTTTATGAAGCAGGTAAGAGCTCAGATCATCCCAGGCTTCTCTGCAGCCCTTCCTTCAAGGGACAAAATATATACCCTAAATGGTGGAATCACTCATCTCCTGAGCATTAAATCATCTATTTTGGTCTTTTCTGTATGTCTTACTTTTTCATACAGCATAATTACCTCTGCCTGATTAATTTTAGGGTGGCATTAATATTTTGTTATTCAAATTACAGTGCTGAACTGAAGTGCAAAATGAAATTTGGTGTTTACTTGCCACCAAAGGCAGAAACTGCAAAGTGCCCTGTATTGTATTTCCTGTCTGGTAAGTACCATGCACCGAGTTTTATGGAGTTTTATTTTTCTTTTTAATTGTCTTAGCCTTATTTTGAATTAGTGGTATGGTTTCTAAACCACTTACAAAAGATTTAAAGGCCTGCCATGGTCCACTCTGTTTATTTATCTTAAGAATGTCTTAAAATATGAATTACATTAGATTTTTTTCTTTTTCAGTTAGACCAAATAATTTAATAGAGAATGTGAGGGTCTGGATTCAATGACAAGGGCTTGGAAGTGTTATTCACTTGGTTTGTATCTGCCCCAGCATTTCTGGTTTGTGCAGACCTTAATGAAATCAAACAGAATTAGATGAAACTGGGACACCATGCTGCGCCAATTCGAAATCATAGACAAGTAACGTCTTCTTTAAGTATTCTCTAGAATATTTTAACTGAACTCCGTAGAGCTTTTTTGCAAAAACGTGGAAAGTTTAAGGCTTCCTCTTCAGTGATTAAAAGATTGTAGAATAGATGAGGAGACAGTAATTTTTGGTGGTGTAATTTTGAACACCTGTCCTGACTTTTCCTCCACAAAGTGTTGGTATTTCTTTTGAAGCAACCATGACAAGAAGAAAATCATATCATGGGATGCTGTTTTATTTTTTTAAATAGGTTTTTACAGCTTTGATTTCCCTAAACCTTTTTTTTGTATGTGTCATGAGGGATATGCCCCAGACACTAGTCTGAAAATGAGAATGAATATTTCATTGTAAGAAGTGAAAGTGAAGTACATATCTGACTAACTCAAAATATTTTTGTGATTAGATGAAGAATACTGATGGAAAGATTAGATCAGCTGTTAGGTTGCTACAGTTAATAGTTTAAATGAAATGAAAGCATCCATATGGAAATCCTGAAAGATTGTCCATATATAAATTATTCTTTCCCTGGTCACACTGATCAACAAAAGCAGGAAATGTTCATAGCACTCTACTTAAAATATCTAAAAAAGTCTATCGGTTGGTGAGATGATAAGTAAAGTATATCCATATAGTGGATTATTATTCTATAAGCCAAAGTACATATATGCATGCTACTATGTGGATGAACACTGTAAACTCTATGCTAAGTGAAAGAGGTCATTCGCCATAGCTTGTATATCACATTCCATCTAAAGGAAGTGGCCAGAATAGGTGGCTCCAGAACCTTCATACTAGAGGTTGCATAGGGCTGGGAGAAGGCAGTTGAGGTACTGATTAACTGCTAATGGGTCCAAGGTTTCATTTGGGGGTGATGAAAATGTTAACCATTAGATGGTGGTAATATTTGCATAACTGTGAACATAGTAATAATGGTTGAATACTTTATGTGGATAAATTGCACATTTAAAATTATTCTGAAAATCCTTCATGTAAAACAAGTACAGTTTTAAGTACTAACCATCTACAAACTCTTATGAGTAGCTTTTCTATTGGACATAAATTCAGTTCTGTAAGTCTGCAATTCAGTTTCTTCTACATTAATCAAAAAAATTACTTTCTAAGTAGACAAAACACACAATTTTTCCTGCAGTATCTAACATGCATATCTCAAGTGTGAGACACTGTGTGTTGTGTCCCAGACCCAATTCAAGCGCCTTGACATACCATCACATTTACTGGTCCATATGAGGTACAAAGAGAGAACTGAGGCCCGTCGTAGTCTCCATGACTAGTTCTTAAGTGACTGAGTGACTACCAGATCTGATCCTGTCTGAAATCCCAAACTCATGCTTCCTAGGCTACAATTCCTCCTCACCTGAGCACACTCATGCTAAGGTCTACAGTTGCTGACCTGTGATCAGTGTTTGGAGGAATTTTCCACTACAGGCTAACAGGGATCCGGTTCATCCGACATGGACTGGTCAGTCTTGACAGAACTTAACTTCTAACACTTCATCCAGTGAGACTGGCAACTTCAAGTGTACTTATTATTTTAAAATGTTTTGGGCCCACTTTTTCATAGCCAGGAGCCCAGAGCCTCTTCTGGGTATCCATGCAGGTGCAGGGTCCCAAGGCATTGGGCCATCCTCAACTGCTTTCCTGAGCCACAAGCAGGGAGCTGGATGGGAAGTGGAGTCACCGGGAATAGAACCAGTGACCATATGGGATCCTGGCACATGCAAAGCAAGGACTTTAGCTGCTAGGCTACCATGCTGGGACCTCTCACATTTTTATAGCAACAAGTATTTATAGGAAGAGAATTAAATTGTATCCTTCATTGCATCACTGAAAAGCATGAAATTAAGAAAAATGACAGGAACAGTTGTAAAACCTGGGAAGATGTGATAGTCATTAATCTCATTTTGGTTTAGTGAGGAATGCAAAGGTAATTATGCTAAATTTTACTGCTGAGAATTATCTATGTAGAATATTCAGTATTTATGTTAAAATGGCTATAGTTTTAGTTCCCTGTGAATATTTATGTTGTGATGCAGAAATAATAGCATGGTTAAGTAGCATGTTTACTAATACCCCAGTGGGGCTGTTGTAATATTAGGGCCATACACCACGTTGCCTTTCTCTACTTTGAAACATACTGAATTCTGAAACATACATGGTCCTCAGCATTTTGGTCATTTAAACTTCAGAAAGTGATTGTAGCACAGATACAAGGTGAGTTAGCCTAAGACAGTTCTCAGGTTAATAATGTTACAAGTTTCATTGAAGAGAACTGTTATATCTTGTCTAACATTATTTCTAAAGAAATATTCTAAGTAATATCAAGTAAACTTGTTTTATTACAAGAGGAATAGCTTATGAACCATTCACATTACAGAATGAAATAACTTTTTTTTAATCTTCAGGTTTAACTTGCACAGAACAAAATTTCATAACAAAATCTGGTTTTCAGCAAGCTGCCTCTGAACATGGCCTTATCGTCATCTCTCCAGATACCAGCCCCCGTAAGTATTCTTGTTCCGAAGAGCCTTTGTGAAAATCTGCATCTTAGAGACTGTTTGGTGATATAGCACACTTACACATTCTGTAGTAATCATTTCATATTTTTTGCTCTCAGTTATTTTCAAGTGACATTGTAGTTCAGATACTATGCTACACTTTCCTCACTGCGTTGCATTCATGACGTGGCACCCAGGAAAGAGGTTAGTTCTGTAGCTATCTTCCGTAGTCTAAGATACGTAAACAGAGTAGGTAACTCAACTCATACCATGTTGGTGGCAGTGTAAAAGTAATAATGTACAGTGCTTAGGAAATTACTTTGTATTTCCTGGAAAAATTACCTTGTTACATAATTACGCATTTTAACATGAATGATTACAATATTTAGAAGCATGAAAATATCAAGTATTTGAGAACTCAATAGTTAAGTATCAAGAAATGAAATTTAAATAGCTGCAAAAGCTGTTATAGTCAAATGACTGGCCTTTAGAAGTACAGTATAGGCCATATTGTACAAGAGCAAGGCATATCTAGTTAGAAATGGAATCATTAATTTTGAATAAAATATTTTAAAAAGCATCAAAGGTATAAAATCACTAGGCATAAATTTTAATTACATTTTTCTAGATATCATAATGGACATCTTTAATAAGAGAAAATCCTGTGTTACTAGCTAGGTAGACTGCATATAATGAAGAGTGCCTACCCTCAGAATGCATATTACTATAATTTTATTTGAAAATATCTTGATTTTGACTCCCAGCTCCATTTCAGCAGCAGGTAATGGCTCAGGTGGTTGGCTCACCCACCTGGGAGACCTTGATTGAGGTCCTGGGGCCTACCATTCCCCTCTCGCAATATCAGCTGTCAGCATGCATCTGGGGAGCAAACCAGTCATGGGAGAACTCCCTCTGTTTACCTGTAGCTCTGTGTGCCTGGAGGGGATGTGGGGCTGCCAAGATTAGGATCACGACCCATATGGGATCCTGGCATGTGCAAGACAAGGACTTTAGCCACTAGGCTACAGTGCTGGGACTAGCATTTTTATAACAGGTACCTATAGAAAGAGAATTAATACATTCTACCTTTCAAATAAATAAATATCACAGTAATTGACTTTGTAATTACATGTAGGTATATGTAAAATGAAACCTAGTAAATTTAAAGGCAAATAAAAAAAAATCTCAATGGGATATGTAGGCAAAATAGCATGGAACGATTCCAAAGTATACTGGGATATGTTTTAGGTTCAAGATAGATAACTGGGCATAAATGTATGCGTCTTTTCCCTTCTAAGACCACGTTTGTAAAGATGATTAAATGTTGTTAGTGAGGGAGGATCCTCAGGGAAGGGATCTCAGTTCAGTTCCCTGACAGGTAGAACATCAAGGAGGCATCTATGTGGCATACATTAGAAGAAACTTCGTCACCATGGAAGGCTGGGTGCCTGCCCATGGCCGCTAAATTCTCCAGTGTGGAAGGTCGTTCCTTGTCCTTTATCAGCCAGAACCAGTCACATAGCCACTTTCAAAGATAATGGGTCAAGAAGTCTAATCCTACCATGTGTCTCAAAAGGTGAAGACTGCACAGTATTTGGGGAAGAGCTCTACTGCAAATAGATTTTCTGATTCATCTAAAAAAATGTGTTATTAAAGTATAAGCAATTATGACAAAGAGATGAAAGCACCAAATTTTTCCTTGATAGGTGGCTGCAATATTAAAGGAGAAGATGACAGCTGGGACTTTGGCACTGGTGCTGGATTTTACGTGGATGCCACTGAAGAGCCCTGGAAGACCAACTACAGGATGTATTCTTATGTAACAAAGGAGGTAATTTAATTTCTGTTGTGAGTGCTAACCGCTGACTCCCGTCAGTGTGGCTTTGGACACAGAGTCTTCCAGCCCCAAGAATTTCAAGCTAGGGTTTTACATTGGTAAGTCTATTTGATACAGTTTTACAAATTATCTTAGTGAAAATTTTGAAGCTACTAAGTCCAATTTTAGAATTTATTAATTGTCTTGATCTGTGTGATCAAAGGAAATACTATGTGAAGGCACCTTTCATTTCCTCAGCAGCTGGTTTATAGTGATAAATAAGGTATAGTTAGAAAGGATAACTCCAGCATGGTGTCATGGCAGGCTAACTGTCTACCTGTAGTACATGCATCCCATGTGGGCATGGATTCAAGTCCTGGCTACTGCACTTCTGATCCTGATTCCTGCTAATGGCCTGGGAAAGCACTAGGGGATGGGTCAAGTTTTGGGCCCCTACACTCACAGGGGAAACCCAGAAGAATCTCCTGGCTCCCAACTTGGGTTCAACCAGCTATGGCCATTGCAGCCTTTCAGGGCGTGAACCAGTGGATGGATGATCTTGCTCTCTGTCTCTTCCTGCCCCTCCACTAATCTGTAACTCTGACTTTGAAGTTAAATAAATCAATCTTAAGAGAAGGGATAAGTGATAAAGCACTGCTTTTATTTTTAAGATTTGTTAATTTTTGAAAGGCAGATTTTACAGAGAAAAGGAGAAACACACAGAGAGGTCTTCCATCCACTGGTTCACTTACAAAATGTCCACAACAGCCACAGCTGAGTGGATCTGAAGCCAGGAGCCAGGATCTTCTGGGTCTCCCATAAGGGTGCAGGGGCCAAAGGACTTAAGCCATCTTGCTTTCCTAGACCATAAGCAGGAAGCGGGATCAGAAGCAGAACAACCAGGATATAAATCAGTGCCCAGATGGGATACCAACACTTCAGGCTTCGCCATCACATGTGCTCCAGCGTTTCTTCTATTAATGTTTATATGTACCTTATATACTTCTCTAAATTTACATGATTTGATTTTTTTTATACATACATTATAAAAAGTCAACCAGTATTCTAACACTTTAATCACCTATAATTCTTACTCAATTTTATAAACAATTGTTTTGATATATTTTCTATGACTGATTTTCACATAATCATACAATTTTATGCTATTTTTTGATTGTATAAAAATATTTCCAATATTTCTGCATTAGTTTGTGTATAATTTCTCTCTTAAGGATTTTCCTTAAAATGGATTTCCAAGGAGTAAAATTGTTAGGTCAAAGTTCAGAACATTCTAAATGATCTTTGTGAATCATCTTCCTGAGGTGCTAAGAAGTCTGTTTCATATCTGCTAGAGATGTAGTAATAATCTCTATCAATCTGAGGTGATTTTTCTTTCATTTTCATCTTCCTAAGTTCAAATCATTGTAAGACTATAATTTGGAAGTGCTGATTGTGTGATTATTTTATATAATTTTGTAAGTTATTTTCTCTTATGCCTCTTTTCGTGCTGTTAAATTCCCTTTAGCTTCCCCAACTCGTAAATGCCAATTTTCCAGTGGATCCCCAAAGGACGTCTATTTTTGGCCACTCCATGGGAGGCCATGGAGCTCTGATTTGTACTTTGAAAAATCCTGGAAAATACAAAGTAAGATTTCTTAAGCTCCTTGTGATAAATATCACTTGAAAATACAATGTCAGCAATTTCTAAAGATTGACATGATAGAATTGTTTTAGTATTGGCACTAAGCTTTTCTGCTATTGATGGCTTTGGGGGCTGTGGGAGAAAGGTGTTCCACTTGACCACACAGCGTATGCTGCAGGACCAGAAGCGCAGGAGCCTGCCCATGTGCTGGTTGGCTCACTAGAACTGGCAGAAAATGCAGCCTTAATCTCACCGCTTTCATGCGGCTATAGTTGTGAGCATACGTTCCCCTGAAGATCATTAGTCTTGATTAAAATATTGTAACAATATCTTTCACTGATTTTTTTTATCAAGAATATGTTTATAAAGTCAGCTTTGATTTCCTAAGCTCATAGAGCTTTAAGAATTCTATGTACTCCTTGCCTCTGGTGAAAAGTTAAAATGCAGGTTCATTGAAAACTTCATTCTCGGCATCATTCATTTCTTTGCTAAAAATGATTATATTTTTGATAGTGGTATCTTGCTGGACCACCAGATATTTCACTTTTATTATAAAGGTGAGCATTATATAGTGCATAGCCTAGAAATTTTAAACTCATGTGCAACATCCTCTTTTCAATGATGATAAAAGATAAAATATTTCACATATCAAAAAAAATGAATATTCTATTTTTTCATTGTGCATGATTTTGTTTAAAGCTTATAAATTTATAGAATGTTAGACACCCATACTTCACTTTATGTACTACAGCAGTTCATTCTAAATAAAAGCTATATTTTATTAAGAAAAAAGTAAAATATTTTCATGGTATGATAGTGGCGTTCTTTTTAATTTAAAATAGCATTTTATTTTGAGTGTGAGATAGTGTCCTGTATACCACTAGAATTAATTCAGGTTTTTACTCTTTAAAAATGCTAGTGCACATTGCTAAACCTGAACATTGATAAGTACTTTGAGCCTAAGAGATTCTGTTTCTTTATCTAGTAGAAAAAAAAAATCCTACAAAAACACAAATAGACACTAAAATTCAATTACACTTGAAGGCATTTCTTATTGTTTTCTTGACATTGTTTAAGAGAAAAAATACCTCATATTTTAATCATATATTCACTAAAGCAAAGCATTCATTATTTTTATTTAACAACAGGCTTTGAGGGAAAAAAAACAGGAAATTTCCATTGTGCTTCATGTAAATAAATTCTGATGTGTTGCTTTGCAGTATTTTGACACCTGTTTTTATTAGCTTTCTTGCTATAATATTTAGAAGATGTGTTATGAAAAATTTGAGATTTAAACCCAGAATATTAGCATAAGGAAAATTGTCCATAGGAAATTCCCTGACAAATCAGAGATTGTAACAAGCTGCAAATAACTTTTGAATTTTAAGCATTTTAAATATCTATTTATACTTGATTTAACAAAAAATATAATTTTAAAATATCTCTTGCTTTTTAAAGTCTGTGTCAGCCTTTGCTCCGATTTGTAACCCAGTGCTCTGTGTCTGGAGCAAAAAAGCCTTTGCTGCATTTTTGGGACCAGACCAAAACAAGTGGCAGGTAGGTACCAGGTGGATATTCTTCATGCTTAAGTTTTCAAATCTGTTGAAAGAGTATACTGCATACCACAATATTATATTCCTAGACTGCTCAAGTTAAGGCTTCAGAGCTGAGCATGCATATATATATAAGGTATGCTGAGCTAATTTATTTCTAAATGAACATAGCTAAAAAAATATGTCAAATATGATTGCTGTTTAACTTGCCTCCTGTTAACTGTCTGTTCGTTTATATAGTAAGAACCAAGACCTGACTTTGTGCATGTATATCAGAATGAAGCAACTCTTGGATTTAGAGCTTAAACTTCAGATTTCAAAATCCTTAAAAGAAGATATTTTGCAATGTGACATTTATGTAATTAATGTCAATGGCAAGGCTGTTTTTTTCAAGCATGGGAAGAGGTGCTTTGAAATGGAATTTCTCATAAGAGCCAGCTTTACTCTTGTCCAGATATGGGTTATTTGAAAACCCCACCAAGAGTTGAAATATTTTGCAAGTGAACACATTAGCATGTGTGTTAGTTAACAAACGGAAAATAGGGGAGCAGATAAAAACCAACTTCTTTGTTCTAAAATATTTCTATTGTAGTTTTCTGTCATTTCCACATGGATTCCTACTTTCTTTAAGGATTTATGATTGGAATTCTAACACATTGGAGCATTACACCTTGGTTACTAGGTTACAGTTTTGTTCGGGTTTAGATTGCATTAGCAGAACAGTTAGGACAGAAGGCGTGCTGAGAGTGTTTATGATAGGGCACTCAGAACTGGTGATGTGTGTATACATCAGTGTTTCAAGACTTCGCCCTGTATAATCTCCTTGTCCTGAGATCTTTTGTTGTAAAGATAATAGCCTTATTTGGACAAAAGATCAGCAAATTAAGGCAGAGTGGAAAAGCTTGAGGCCCAGGAAACTTAAAAAGAAATCTCATGGTATAATTTTCTCCAAGTGCAGTGTATTCCATTGTCTTAACTGTATCGTGTTTAGGTTAGTATTTAATAATAATGACAGCCTGAAAGGAGACCACGTCAAGATTTAGAACTCATTGAATTTCACAGGTTTCCATCCACTGTCTCCTTCTAAGATAAAAGGAGATGATCTTCAGAAATGTAGTACTTAGGGAAAATCATTTGGTAGTTGTTGCCTTGATCAAAGCCCAAAAGTTATGGTTAGTGAATATGCTTGCATATAATTTTGCAAAAATATTTGAAATCAAGTGGCAAAATATAAAATTGTAACTAATGGCAGCTAGCTCAGATAGGAAACTGGATGTGTTTGATATGAGATTCAGATGACTTATATCTGATCTTTAGGAATGGCAGAAGGGAAGGAAGGCTAAATATCTAGAATTGGATCAAAAAAAAAAAACACAAAACTTTGAAGTACAGAATATTTGGAAATAGAAAAAGATCTAATGGAGTTAGAAGAATTTTTAAAAATTTCCAATTGTGGAAGGATTTATAAAGAAACAAAAACATGTTTTAATTAGAGTTAAGAAGTGATTCAGAATTGTAATGCTTTAAAACAAAAACCAAACCAAACCAAACAGGACATACTGTAAAAAATGTGATACAGGCTTCTTGCCACTAGGCTAGGAATGCTTGAAAGCAGGAAAGAGGCTGTTACTAGGAAACAAGGCTGAAGAGCATGCAGCTAAAAACCTAGCGAGATTCTGGTTTAATCAACCCTCAAGTTTAAAGTGCATCGGGTGCATGGTGTATAATGTATTCCGAGAAGTTTTTTTTTTTTTTTTAATGTTCTCTTACAGGCTTATGATGCTACCCATCTTGTGAAATCCTACACCGGTCCTCAGTTGGACATACTGATTGATCAAGGAAAAGCGGATGAGTTTTACAATGAGTTGCACCCTGAGAACTTCATAGCTGCCTGTACAGAGAAGAAAATCCCTGTTGTTTTTAGATCACAAGAGGCAAGTACTGGAAAGTTTTAGCTTGATCACAGAAATTTGAGAAAACAAGATTACCTTGCACTTTATTTTAGGAATAAAATGAAATGCTGCCTTTAGTAAGGTAGTTTTTAATCCTGTTAAAGATACTTTAAAAAAAAATCTCCCCATTAATGATTTCTAAGAGCAAATTTGATACAAGTCAAAAAGCTTTTGGCATTGAAAAATGCCTACATATTTCTCCTCGCTGCCAAGCTTCATCCCTGAGTGATCCATCACCTTCAGCATCTGAGGGTGCCTCCGTCTTCACATGCACTCCATGTCGCAGGGGAGTGCAAGGAGATCTTAGCCAGAGATGAGCAGTGCTTATCCCTCACGCACAAGCACTGTATCTCTCACCCAGTTGCTGTTTATTGAAGAGCAATTACTAAATTTCAATTGACTTGGAAATGTTATCCTGACTAAAACAATTATCTACAGAACACCCTGACTTGTAAGGAAGTTCTGCTTTTGTTTAAAAAAAAAATTAAAAATACAAACAAAATCTAAATAGAATAAATAAAATCTCTTTCTGGCTTTCATTTAAATTTCACCCAAATTTGCATCTGGTCATGATTCTTTTTAAACATGATTTTCACTCGTGACAGGCACATTGATCTAAAATGTAATTCTGATGGGAACACTAAGCCACTGCACTTTATGGTATGTTACGATTACAAGATAGGCAACATGATCTCGTTTCACTGTCGATCCCACTGGATGAGAGGGTCATATCTCCCGTTCATCTGTGACAGATGAGGATGGGGTGGTGGCATCAGGACTGGAGGCAAGGTCACTGGCTCTAGATTCTGTCCTGTCTTCCCTCCAGCTCCTTGAAGCTCGGATGGAGCTAGAGCCGGCTGAGCCAGCTCAAGGAGCAGTCAGGCGTGGCCTGCAGTCTAACTAGTGCAGCAGATCTTAGCCATCTCCTTCTCCCTAGGGAAATTCTGAACATGGGATCAACGTCCTTGTATGTATCATGTATTTTTCTGTTTTGTTTTGAGGTGTATATGAACATTACCCATCACAATGACATTTTGAGTCCGTCACCAACCTTCAGCAATTGTATTATGAAAACAGTATTGTGCTTAGATATAGTAATTGTAGCTCTAAGTGATGTACAAAACCATGTTTTTGTTTTGTTTTGTTTCCAAATGGCACTTACCGTGTTGGGTGCCTCATCTCCTTTCCCTGAGGTTGTGCCAGGAATTCTTGTTTCCACAAAGTTTCTGCCAGCAAAGTCTGAGAATCTCTGGAGTTCTTTTATAAAAATAGTATAAAGTTAAAACACAGATGACATTCTTGGGGTGGTGGGGAGGTAAATCAACTTAATTATTTCTAAAATGTTTATATCCCAAGCAACTAATAACAGAGCTGAGCGTAGCTAATGAGGAGTCAGGAAGCAGTCAGCTCTTCTTTAAAAGAAAAAAAAAAAAAAAAGTAAGGCCGTATTGCGGTCACACAGTCGCAGTGCTGAGCCAGAGATGGTTTTGCACTCTTTGCAGGAAGGCCAAGGTGACGGTGAAGCGCACAGTCTGAAGCAGATTGCCTTTACTGTCATGAAATGAACAACCAGACTCGCCTGAGTGGGGGCTGCAGTGCGGTCAGGGTCAGATTTTCTAGCCGATTTGTCTTTGACCTCACACTACCTAAGCTCTTATCACATGCCTGATGGGTTGGTGGTAGGCACTGTGTAACTATATTTTTTTGTGGAGTAGAAGCTCTGAGAAAAAAATTCTCTGGGACTAGTAGGGCATGTGTAAAGCAAGTAACTGGTACAAAGGGAGAAAAATTATTGTAATCATGGACATGATGTGTCCTTTGTTCTCTCTGCTTTTTATCCTGGTACTAAATGCTCACGATTTATACTCTGTCAACTAGGGAAATTGTTGAGCAGGAAGGGTTAGTGCATGGGGTTTTTGTTTGGTTATGATTTATGATTTCATTTATATTTATATGTATATAAAATGTGCTGTGTTAACTACAAATGCTCTAAATTGAAAGAAACCTTTAGGCAATAGAATTTTGACAACTACTGTACAAAGATAAAAATCTTAGCCTGGAAGGGAAAATGTACTGAGGAAATTTCTAGAAACAGCAGTTCTCTTTTTGAAAGCTAGGAAGAGAGTCAGTCCTTCCTTTTCAAGTCTCAGGGTCCCTTTGAAGCCTCCTAGGCTGTTTTGCCCACTGTGTCGGCCTTTTATAGTATTCTAGGATACCAGGACCCCTCGCTCATCTCTGCATTCTCTGCTCAGCAGTTATCTAGCCCACAGGCTCGGAGTGTTTGTTAAATAAACAAATGGATACCTTTCAGCAGTTTTTGTACCCAGGGATTCATAGTCAAGCTTTTCTGATTGAGTGTGGAAAATATGTTGGAAACACGCTGCCTGTTAGAATAAATGCCCACTGCAGCTGCTGGAGCACTGGGTCCTTTTCTGAGAGTTGAGTAAAGAATGAAAGAATGCCTGCATGTATTTTTATGCACCAGGAGTCAGAGCTTTCTGACTCAGGATTTTTCCATTAAGAGAGTGATGGAGAGGAGAAACAAAAGCCCTAAATGCACGTCATTAAATACAGACAGTTGTACCAAGTGTTTAACAACTCAGTGCTGAAAGAAGCCACCCCCATTTAATGAGATAAACAGAACTTGCAATTGGTCAGGGTGACACCTTAGCTCTAATTGTGTAACTTCAGCAGAATGCCTGTAGTTAACTGTCCCATTGCCTCCCTGTTAGCACGTGTTTGAAGTCCTTCCTGGTCTCTCATGCAGGCATTTTACTTTTTCATAAAGTTAAATTTTAAATAACACAATGAAGTTAAGGACAAGAAATATACTGTGACTAGGCAGTCCCTTCAAAGCTGGCACTTTGGTTTATCCTGAGACTTCTCCAACCAGGATAGTAGCAGTCGTGGAGGCGCCCTGGCCTCTTCCTGCAGCTGTGCAAGACCCTGAATGGGCAAAATGACAGATCAGTGCAGAAGCTCCGACTTGGGCTTTTGTCAAACATGTGCATCCTGTACCTATGTCTACTTTCTGTTGGATCCACCTTTTGAATTGCTTGAAATGATGGAGCAGTTCACAGGTGTAGGGTCCTAAAACTCACGGGCCTGTTTAACTTTTTAACAATTCAGGAATTACATAGGTGGAAGATGCGTTATTTTAAATACTGTTTTTATGTAAGAAATAGCAGTTGTTCAACTGCAAGTGGATCATTGGGAGATGTAAGTCCAAGTAATTTGCAAGTTCAACGTTCCTGTCCAGTTGCTTCCATGATAGAACACAGACTGCTTTTAAATTACTTTGATGACTTGAAGCTACAACTTTGCAGTAACTCCCATCTCCAAGATACACATCCCTTATTTCTTTGGAAGTAACAGATTCAAAACATCTGCTGATTCACCAGAACCTTGGGGCTTCCTCTTGTTCCCTGAATCCATAGTGATTTTTTTAAAAATCCACTTTTATTTCTGCTATGCTTAGGATTCCCATTTTCCCCTTAGCAGAGCCCATTTACTAATTAACCTTGAAAAAAACAGATCTTTGCTGGCTTTCATCTCCATCCATTTGTTCCACCTTATATTTGAATTGTAGTGAGCTGGGCAAGGAGGCTGCCCTGAAATTATCTGGTTTTTAACATCGAAAGTCTCACACCTTAATTCCTTTCTCCTTTAAGAGCTACCTCTGTTTATGTGTTTGGAGCAAGTGTCAGTCACCAGAGAAGGGAGCTCCTCTCCATTTTCCCACAGCAGTACTTGGAATGGACTGGAGAGATTAAGATGTGTCTCAACTCAGTTGGCACACTGCATTTTCTGTATTCCTTGGTAGTCTTCAAGTGATGTATTGATTTTTCTTTACTCAATTTGCTAAGGAATATCAGGATTTAATAAATTACTCTTTTTTCCTTAAGTGAAGATGATGTGCTTATATAGGAAGTGGAATTCCTGGCTTTTTGGTTTTCAAGTGTTTATTTTCATATACTTGACAGAGACTGCCTGTTCATCACCTCCATGTCTATAATAGCTAGGTCTGGGCTAGGATGAAGCCAAAAACCCAGAACTCAGCACAAGTGTCCCACGAGGGATAGCTGAGCAGTGGTCTCACTCCCAGCGCCCAGCCCTGGAACTGGGATGCTGAGTGATTTGTAATGACCGTGTTTAGCTTCCTAGGGATAAAACACTGGCCATGTTTATGTTCTTCCCTCGTGCTTTTCATATTGCTTATGTTGTGTTTGAGGTCGGTATCTTACTGATGTCATTAATGCTCCTTTTGTTAGTTGAAATGTCCATGTTTCCAAGTTGTTTCAGTCCTGATTTTAAAATCCTTGTTGATGTGCTTGCCTGTTTACTCTGCACATTCAACCAATGTGTTATTTTCTCTCTTTGCATGTTAATGACAGCATTTAGAAACCTGGTTGTATTAAAAGCTTCATTTTGCTTCATGCTTTTGTCACACTTTTATACTTAATGATACCATTTAAATACACAGCCACCTTGATGTTGAGTAAAAACCTTCCACAAGCTAGTATTTTCACATTTGGACTACTTAAAAGTATAGTGAGGCAACAGAAGAGATAATGTCCCTGATAATGGGGTTTCTCAATGGTAAATAAGCCTGTGTCATCTCTGTTTGACCTTCTAGGGTTATGATCATGGCTACTACTTCATTGCCACCTTTATTGCTGATCACATCAGACATCATGCCAAATACCTGAATGCATGAAAACGTCTCAGAAGAGAATCACTGCTGGAGAAGGAAAATTGTATTAAAGAGAATTGCTGAGAAAGATTTCAAAACATTGATGGCATAATGCTAAAATGGGTTCATTCTACAGTTGAATCATCTGAATAAATAAGCCTATTTCTAATATGACAGATTATTTTTCACCTGTACAAGTACACTTTTTCAGTTTCACTGAAAATCCCTGATGTATGATCCACAAATAATTTCCTGTCACATGTTTAATTTTAACTCACCAAGAAAAGTAATTTTTTTGTAAAAACCAAATTGCATTCCTTTAAGATATTAATAAATTTTTTTGAAAGACGCAAGACTGGTTGCTTTAAAAGTATGTTTTTCTGTTGAGAGGCACAAAGATTATACATTCTAATCCTTGACGATGAATACATATTGAACAACAATAAAAGGTGATGACACCAGTTTCTTAAAGTTCCAGGATTTGTATTATTTAAATGTAGATAGTTCTAAAATTGAGTCTTGGATTTACACACACCATCTCCACTCTTGTTTCCTCTGATAAGGAAAATCACTTAATTCGTAATGTTTTCTGCATTTTGTTTATTCATTGTAAAGAAAAAACAATTGTGTTGTCCTAAGGTTATTATATTTGTTGAGGTTTTAATTAGAGAAGAACTAGAAGGAGAGTCAGTGTTGGTTGATTGATTGGTGTTAATAAGGGACTGTTTCACACAGTGCTTCCAATGGCTGCATAAGCAAAGCTAGAGCCATAAGGGGCAGTCTGGAAGGAGAATTCTAGCCAACGTGGAACTTGTGGGCATGGCTTGAACTGTTGTTCACAGGGGACATTTCTGTTTCTGTCTTGGAGTCTCAAGACTTGCTTTAAGGCATTCTAACAGATAAAGTGAGACTCACCAGTTTCTTTCATTTGCCAATCCATGGATTAAATACCTAGAATAATACTGGATGGAACAATGGGAATGTAACCTAGCGAATTAGGCACGCCATTATGAGAAAATGGTTTCTTTGAATTTTTTGCACAGTGAATAAAATATTTAGGATAGCTGTGGTGAAGACCCTCAGTTACAACATAGAAATGACCTTGGAGAAAGCCAGTAGATTTGAGCTTGGATTTCTTTGTATGCTGCCAATACTGGCTAGGGAAAGACCCTATTTCTAAAACATGAGTTTTCCACATTAAAAATTCTGAACATCACAAGGTCTATCTCAATAACTTCACACTAAAGAATAATGGAATAATTGACCACCCACTGGAGGTCAATCAGTTTTAGATATTTAGAATCACCTGACAGAGTTTAGATACCAGGGGCCAGTGCTGTAGCGGACTCTTTCATGTCCTGGCTGCTTCACTTAGAATCCAACTCTTTGCTCTTTGCCTGGGAAAAGCATTGTGGAAAGTGCACAAGTGTTTGGGCTTTGGCACCAACATGGGAGACCTAGATGAGGCAGCTGGCTGTGCCTGGCCCCTACTGGTCATTGCAGTAATCTAGGAAATGTGCCAGTGGATGGAGGATTCATGTCTCCCTTTCTGAAACTTGACTTTCAAATGATATCTCTTTAAAAACTCAAGTAATACAGGTAAAGGAATTTGACAGATTTTCTGGATTATGTTAGATATAAACCTCTTGAAAATCTCTAAGAAACCATAAAGTCACAATTAAAAGTAAGAAAAAGGTATATGCAGATGCTTGCAATTTGTGTATCTGACAAATAACTTGAATCTAAAGTACGTGGAAAACACCCACAAGTTCATAAGAAAACAGAAAAACCAACAAAATGGGGTCCAAACAGAATAGGTGTTAATTATGACTAAAAAAAAAAACCTTGAAAATGTGCTTAACCTTGTAAAAACTACAATGAAATACCCATCTGATTGTCCAAGTAAGACAGCAGAAAGAGTTGGCAAGGCTTGGTGACAGCCTAAACTATCGCTGCTAGTGGGTCTATCAATAGCGGCGCTTTGCACTATTGATAGGTAGGGTATCTGCATAAGGTATCTCCCTTCTGAGATCTAAGCAGACACATGCTTCATATAAAGCCTGTACGGGAATGTTCACAACAGCACTACTCATAATGGCCAAAATCTGGAGATAACCCCCAAATCCATTTACAATAAAAGGGATAACTTGAATCTGTCCATATGATGGGATACTTTACATGAATGAAATGAATACCCTACATAGGTGTGGATGCAGCCATATGTGGGGGTCTCAAACATGACCTGGAGCAAGAGTCCAGATACAAAATTATTTTCTGTTTAGATACCTTGGTACCATTTCATACAAGTGCTACACTGGGCAACACACATCCATGGTGTTGGAAGCCAGGAGCAAGGGGGATGGGCACAGTCCAAGTATGGGGACAAAGCCAGAAGTGCCTTCCAAGTGCATGCCTTTAGGGTACTGGTGAGCTTCATCTGGATGCTCCTTCATACGGTAACTTAGCAAAGGCAACAAGCCATACAACAAAGATTCATACATTTAGTTTCTCAAATGTCATGTTACCTTAACATGAATTAAATAGTTATAACATGAAGATCAAAAACTACTGTTTGAAAATGAGAAGTTCTAACATTGCCACAAAGAACATTGATCTTGCAAAAATAAAATTCCCAGTGACTGCATCATGCAGAGATCCAAATAATGCATCTCAGACAGTGAGAGTGAAGATGATGTGTGAGCATAAAAACAGTTTTTAAAAAGAGGTTATTAGAAGTACAAGTAGTTGTTAAAAAAAAAGTCTGATTGGAAATGGCCCCAGGTATTTCTGAGAAATCAAAAGAGCACTTCAGAACTGGTGATAAAGAGGCTTTCATTTTAATGAAAGAAGCAATTTCTATAAAGTGATTTGAGGGTATTTTGCAGTATAAAATATTAATTTTGAACATGTATTTAGTAAACACTGAAAGTTGGAAAGACAGTGCTTATGTCCATCTGCTCCAAGGCCTAGAAACACATCTTGGAATTGAAGTTCTGATCCAAGACATTTAATTATTGTAGATTATTTCAGAAGAAAACCTGACACAGGTCCTGCTTTCCAAAGGGGCCTTAGCAGATCATTTGATCATTAAAAGCTCATTCTTCAGGCCCGGCACGATAGCGTAGTGGTTAAAGTCCTTGCCTTGCACACGCCGGATCCCATGTGAGAACCGGTTCTAATCCTGGTGGCCCTGCTTCCCATCCAGCTCCCTGCCTGTAGAAATCAGTCTGGGAAATCAGTCGAGGATGGCCCAAAGCCTGGGACCCTGCACCCATGTGGGAGACCTGGAAGAAGTTCTTGGCTCTTGGCTTCGGAGCAGTGCAGCACCGGCACTGGTTGTTGTGGTCATTTGGGGAGTGAATCATCTGATGGATCTTCCTCTCTGTCTCTCCTCCTCTCTGTATATCTAACTTTGCAATAAAAATTTTAAAACATTTTTTTTGAAAAGCTAATTCTTCATGTGACAAGTGACAGAGGACTAGAAAGCAAAAGCAAAAGCAGCTTCTACGGCTTCTCATCCACAAAGCTGCAAAGCAGAACAGTATCGAGGCAGTCAGCTCATCCTCCCAGCAGTGAGCAAGCAAGCGGACACCTGTGCCTCTGGCCCCAGAACAAGGTGTGCTGGCTTCAGGCTGCACCTTGCCAGACATCGAGTGCACAAGGGCGTTCCACATATATATGAACAATAGAGTGGAAAGACATGTTTAGAAATGGTGGCATTTAGGACACCCAGGCCCTACTGACCACAGTGCCTGGTGGTTCATGCTGTTCCCTATCCAGCTTGCTGCCAGCACAGACCCTATGAGGCAGTGATGGCTCAAGGAGATGGATTCCTGCAACTCACCCAGAGACCTAGACCATGGTTCCAGCATCCGGCTTCGTCATTGATCTGGCTATGGTGGGCATGTGGGCCGTGAGCCAGCAGATGGGAGTGCTCTGTTTGCTCTCTAGGTGTGTGCCTCTCAAACAAATTGTTTAAAGGTTAGTGGTTTTTGCTGCAAAATGTTTTCAGGGATCCTCCAAAAGTTCATGGGAAATGTGTATTACACAAAAATTACTGCACAGAGATGAAAATGATTTTGCAGCAAAATAATGTGTCCTTCACACTTTTGTCAGTCATCATATCTATCTGTCAGGCACAAAGGCTGCTTCCATTCACTGGTTCACTCCCCAAATGCGCCCCAATAGTGGGGGGCAAGCCAGGCTGAAGGCAGGAGTGGGGCATGCCAACAAGGCCTGCCATGTGAGAGACAAGAACCCAATACTTGAGCCATCATTGAGGCTTCTCAGGAAGTAGGAACAAGACACTGTTCTGTGGAATGTGGCTGTCCCAGAGTGTCCTAATTGCTGCGTCAAATGCCGGCTCCAAATGTACCTTTTAAGTCCTCTTTCCATTAACTTTTTGTAGTATCCTCATGCTAGAGCTTTTATTTCTATATCTCACCTCCTCTTATTTTTTTTATTTGGAAGGTAGAATACAAAGAAGAGAATCAGAGAGAGAGAGAGAGAACTTTTCCATCTGCTAGTTCATTCCCCAAATGGCCACCATGGTCAGAGCAATGTGATCTGAAGCCAGGAGCCAGGAGCTTCTTGCTGGTCTCCCACAAGTGGTACAGGAGCCCAAGGAATTTGTTCAGCCTCTGCTGCTTTTCCAGGTCATAAGCAGGGAGTTGGATTAGAAGTGGCTTACCCCCTCTTATTGAAATTCATATGTTGTATATGTGCTTTATTCTAGACACTGGAATAGTTATACACACAGTTAAAAAAAAAAGCATTAGTGTAGGAACATGTGACAAATGTGAGATAACTCTTCCCTCAGATTATTCTCTTAGTTTTTTTTTTAAACTACAAGAGTAAAAAGCATCAGGGGGCCAAAACAGTATATGTGCTGTGCTATTCATCTGTACTCTGTTCCAAGGCTTATGTCTGGTATAAAGTATCTTTCTCTAGTTTGCAAGCTTCTCATTTTTCAGTAGCGCTGGCAAGTGAAGCAGGATGCGTCCTTCTCATCCTCAGAAAGCATATAAAGCTTCTGTACCCTTTTTGTACTTGGCCCACATCCGGGACTGAATTCCCAATGTTGTTTGGGTCTCTGGCACGCAGCGTGAACTTTCTGTCTCCAGCAACACTTAGTGGGTAGCTCACTTTCTGGTGCCAAAAAAAAAGAACTAGAACTCCAGCACCTCCTTCTTTGGATGGTAAAGGATATGGACAACCAGGAAAGAAACTAACATTTCCATATCATGGAGATTATTAGCCAAGTTCAGATATGAAAAAAAATGAGGCAAGAGACTGGGCATGCTTTTCAATTTATTTTCAGCATTCAGCTTTTGGCACGTGTTTGAACGCTGCA